AATACAGCCGTATACAACATACATCTAGGAACAAATAATGTATGTTACACTTAAAAGATTTGATTATATCCTTGAAAGTAATGACTCCTGGAAAAGATTTGTGGAAACAAGGTAGATGAGCTCCCACTGTGATGTTGTACCTAAAAGGGTAAACATGATCCTTGGGCATATAAACTGATTGATAGATTCCAAGGCCAGAATGGATCATTATCATCTAGTCTGAGCTTCTGTATAACACAGGCTACAGAACTTCCAAGGTAATTCCTGTCTTTTAGAAAAACAAGGAGTGGGGAGGTGGTATTGCCTCTGTATCTGGCATTAGTGAGAATTATTAGGATACTGTGTCCAGTTCTGGTGTCAACACTGCAAAAAGGATGCTGACAAATTGGAAAGCCTTCAGAAAAGAGCTATAAAAAGATCTAAGGTCTGGAAAACCATGCCTTTTACATTGAGCTTCTTTAGTCTCAGTATATTTAGTTTATCCAAGAGAAGGTTGAGATAAATTGATCATGGTCTACAAGTACCTACACGGGGGAGTCACGACTGGTTATGTTTCTAAAAGGTATGCTATAGTTCTGTTAGAAGTTATGGATTTGATGAAGTTCTTTATCCTGTGTGAAGCAGGAAGTCAGACTAGAATGATACTAGTCTATTCTGGCCTTATTTTAGGAATCCATTATCCCAGTATCTTGTCACCAACAGTAGCCAATATATTATGCTTGAGAGAAGGTACCAAAAACCCTGCAATAGTTATGGGATAACCTGCCACCTGGGAAAGTTTCTTGTTAACCCACCAAAGGCTAGAGGTTGTGTAAAACCTTGCACCATGAAGATTTTAGATCCCTTTCACACCCCTTTTATTTTTTTAACTTACTATTATAATTCTAGCATCTTTATACATATCAAATCCCATTTTTAATCCTTCTAACCTCTTGGCCTCTATTATATTGTAGCAGAGTTACATAAGCTAATTGTGTGGTGTGAAAGTTCATTTATCTGACCTCCCACCAGTTTACTGTAACTTCTCTGCCTCACTTTCTCCATCTGTAAAATGGAACAATTGTGCCTTGTAGGGGTGTTGAGACTGTTTAGAAAGCAGTATTAGTGATTTTTATATTATGGCTGCAGTCAGATGCTTTGCCATCTCTGGTTAGGATGGTTATATAACCCCAAAGCAGGCTTCTTTGCCCTAAAGGAGAGTTTTGATAAGTTTACTATTAACAATGCCAGCAATTTTGAGACTATATGTACAATAAATTAAGGCTGACATATTCAGTTTGTGGAACCTAATCCCAAATATGGTACAGGCTACAAAGAACAATAAACGTGCTCTACTGTCAGCACTTTAGAACCACTCCACAGCATTTGGTAAAATTGGGAAATTGTGCTCCAGAAAGCTCCAAATAATAGGAGTGCTGCAGATCATAAGGGCACTGACTTCATTGTGGAGATTAAAGAAAATCCAAGTTACCAGAGTTGGGAGGTTGTGTATAGCTTTCATCAGTGATTTTCAACATCATGTGCTATTTAATGCAGAACTACTTCTTGGTGGAAGACATGAGGTTATCCAATAGGGGAGCATCAGATCAGCCCTTCTGCCCCTGGGGAACAGAGTGAGCAACTGGAGTTTAACTTGGGAGAAAATGACAGTGCTCCTAGTAGATTTAACCTAGCAGTATGATGGAATTTGGCAGGTGCTGCCCTACAGATGAGAAATGTGGCCGGCAGCTGAATGAACAAGTGCTATTTTCCATTGTCTGACTTCAGCCAAAACTAGCAGTCTCTTTCCTTTCATCAGTTCTACAACTTCCAACACTGCACCAAAATAACAAATTCTAAATTACATTCTTCATAGGACTCTCTTCTTTGTGCTATTTACTGAATATTCTTTTCTCTTTCATACAGGTGACATGGTGTGGTGATTCTGGAACTGGAAATATAAAAGATGCACATAAGTCAAGTTAATGTTTTCATGTATTCAAATTGGATACTGAACTCTAACTTGCCATGACCTGAGATTGTTTAAAGTAGGATGTCTTTGTGATTGCTTGCATGTATCTGTGTAAGGGAATTCATCACCAGGAAACTTAACAAGTCCACCTATACTCTAATTGGACAGGGATCTAATTTAGTAGGTATATCACCTATACTGTATTCCATCCACAATATGGTATTGCTGCATCATATTTAATTACTGAATATATTTCAGTCTAAAACTGGAACTCCTACCGTATTTCACTAATTCAGTAAGTAGTTATAAGAGCTTTAGTTTTTTCCTAAAGCCCTAAGTCAAACTTAATTCAGTTAAGTTTGATGTTTTTGGTGAAAGACGATCTGCAAGTAATTGCTACTTGAACTTGCTCATTGAGCTACCATTAATATTTGAACGCTTCTTGTTCTTTCAGTCACCAAGTGTGATCATCTGGTGTTTAAAATGAACAAATTAAAAACTTAACAGGGAAATATGTATTACAGCTTTGACCCCACTGGTGGGACTTTGCCTTTGGCAACTACAGAGGCAGCTTTGGGATTGCGTTGGTCTAATGCTTAGGCAAACATTTAATCCACAGAAATAATTTGTTCAAACTTGATTGATGTTGAGCAAAACCAGAATGAGTAAACTACTACTCACAATCAAACTGTTTGACTTTGATAATGGCAACCCTAGTGCTAACTTTTTAATAATCTTGGTTGCATTGATTGGATTCAGCACATTAAACTTTTTTCATTGTATACTTTAAACTATTTAAGAAAATGTTGAATTAAAGAAATCAATGTTATGTATTGTGTATTTAAAAAATTAGTGGTTTAAAAAAACCTAAGAAATCCCATAAGTTGTATGGGCCTATTAAATGTAGTGGTATTAGAAAACTTGACTGCTTTCTTACCTTATTATTGTACCAGCTAGCTTTTCATTTGCTTCAACTGCAACTGGATCTTCATCTTCTTTCCTAAAGATGTTCAAGTTTCAACATTGAATGCAGTACTGGAAAAACTTGCATTTTTTACCCATTGGTAGGAACACACATGTGGTGTACTAGTCTTTCATCCTTAAATCTGGGTTCAGATCCTAGCTGAGAGTTACAGGACACTCCCCTCCCCAAAAGAACAAGCCAGATACAAGTCCTGTATGGCCTCTCCTGCATCGCTGTGCTTCTCCCCCTTCCTCATCTGCTCTGGGGCAGGAAATCCTTCTGAAGCTAGGTGGGAGCAGGGACTAGTATAGCAAGGTTGTTCTAGTCAGCTGGAGGGGGATGCATTAAAAATTTGAGGAAGCTTTCATGATTTCTGTCTGGGGATTGGTCCTGCTTTGAGCAGGGGGTTGGACTAGATGACCTCCTGAGGTCCCTTCTGACCCTGATATTCTATAATTCTATGCCTGTAATCCTTGCAATTAAAAAAAAAAATCAGATTGGGAGGTCCTCTTAATAAACTTTGCATTTACCTTGCTTTGCCTATGCTATGATGTGGGTAGCCCTTTCTGAGGTGGTGCATACAGAAGGTCCCTCTAATGTAATGGAGTTTTTGTGAATTCAGCTGCCTTTTCAAATGTAATAGGCTTCTAACCCTCCCCTTATTGAAGTGGCATGTTACTATAGAGAACTATCTACCATGTGCAATTTAAGCAACCCTGTTTGTTTAAGCTACAAATGTTTCAACCTCATGCCTACAGTAGCTGAAAAGCACTAGCTTATAATCAGGGCCCTGTGTACTCTGCAGCACATTTTTGCATTAAGTCAAAGCCTACAGCAATGTTAATTTATTCTGTCACCATAGACTATCCCTCATTCTCACACAGATACAGCTAAGGTTGAGAGTTGAAAATCTCTAATGTAAAATTCACCAGACCATTATGAGCTCTTCTGCTATGCTCTCTGCAGGCTGCGGTTGTCCAGCACAAACCCCTGGCACTTGGGGAAGGAGAAGTAAGTTCATCAGTTTCAGTAGCTCAGCTCCCTGGCTGACCTGATGAGTCACCTATACTTCTGTTCCCTTTGTGCCCTGCTTGCAGCTAGACTTCAGCTCTGGCTCCAGGGAACCGGCAAGCAAGCACTGTAGTTTAACTTTTTGTAGGGGGGAGAGGAAAAAGATGGGGAGCAACAGGCAGGTAGCAGGAGAGGGACACAAAATAAAATGCCAGGTGTGAGGCTGCAGCACAGTAGGGAATTTCACATCAGAAATCTTGATAGAATCCTGTTTTGATACTTCACATATTGAACTATTTCAGTAAGGAGAGAGTTTCTGGGATTCCTTGTGGCAAATTCACAGTAACATTTTACACACCTGTTCAATATTTAAATGTATAGTATTAAATCCTCAGTCATGGTTCATGCAGTGATCCCCATGCATCCAAAAATGGTAGCAATTCTGTCAGCTATTTACATCTTCAGCCAGAGGGAAGAGGCCACACCTACTTTTTTGTATTTTTATGCATGGGGCTGTCACTCAATCTGATTGTCCCCCTTGCATAGATTCAGAAGTTTCAAAAGCACTGTCCAGTAGGAAGGGTCATGTATGGACTCCTGTCCTCATGCCCCCTCTCCAAAGGGCATAAAGCAATAGAAGGAACTTGAGGGGGTGACTAGTCACACTAACTGCCTTTTAGCATAGTCAGAACTGCACAGCATCCTCCTTAGCCAGTTTTCCTGTGTAAGTTAGTTTCCTTGTTTCAACTGTTAGCCTGTTTTTAAAAAGTGGTTTTCACTCTTTGCCAGATCCATATTAAGTACATTGTTAGAGATTTCCCCCTCTAAGATGGACATAACCTGTTTTGTTTATGAGCAGCATTTAGTCCATCAAAATGCACTATGTGCTGCAGGAGTTTTTAAAAGCACACCCACACTTGAGAGAACAGACAGAGGCCAACATTGGGGGTCCTCTCGATCATTAATTAGAACCCAGCCATCAGTGCTTCAGACTGGAGGTAACCAGTCTCTTTACCCTCTATCAGGCACTGTTCAAATTCTCAGGCTCATCTGTTGGAGCAGTCAGTTACTCCTGCTGCCCACTGAATTAAGCAATGCTGTGATAGATCAGTTGACAGGAAGCAGTCACCTTCCCCAGTACCATAAAAAAGAGAAGAGAATCCCCTGGATCAGAGGAGCTGCTGAAAGCAACACCAAGCAAGTCATCAAGGAGCACAGTACCACAGGGATGTGCCTCTAGTACAGCCCCACATCTTAAGGGATTGTTAAACTCCCTCAGCACAGGCTTTTAGGGTTCCTATAGGACCAGTCTGTGGCATTGCCATACACTCTAACACTGGAACTCTTAGAACCTGCTTCTTCAGTCCTGACTCAAAGTGTGTCAGAGATCAGATTCTGCAGTACCAAGAGCACCTCCTTCTGTAGCCTTTTGCTACAAGTGCACTGAACACTGCAGCACTCTCCTTCAGGGAAGCAGCTGATACTTGGATAACACTTGAACTACAGTCTTTCCTTGGATTATATGCCACTGTCAAGTCACCCTCAGGATATCCCAGGGAGCCAGTCATGAAAATTTTGCTGGGCTCCCATATTCATGGATATGATAGTCTTTCACAAATGCTAGCTCGGCTGTCAGACTATCCTTTCTCACGTAAAGGGTCACATAGAATAACTATTCCAAGATGCATGCAGTGTAGTTGTAGCCATATCCATCCCAGAATATTGAGAAGAATTCTTGATGGACTACCTCTTCATGATCACTTTAAAGATTAAAAAGGGAGTGATTAGCACGTTGGATCTATATTTTCCCTAGAAATGTAATTTTTTTTTTAATGTAAAGCTCTACAGGTACCATGAGATTATTAAAAAATTGGCATGATGGAATTTGGAGTGACGACATTCCCTCAGTTTCAGTTGGCAGCAGCAATTCTAAGCTTGCTGAGCATGATTTGAAACAAGTCACTGAACATTCTCATCCTCTGTCTTTCCCTCTCCAAACTTATTTTGCTTGGACAACAGCATCACATAATTGTCCAGTAAAATTTAAGTCCCTTGGAAGTAAACAATGTTTGCACTTTAGGAGATTCTTCCATTAAGGATTAATGGTCCTCAGGCTGAATAGTCAAGACAAAATATGGGGTGTCCAGTGTCAAAAGTCAAAACAAATTCAAGATTTTTCTAGTATCAGAAAAGCAATATTTATTGCCTTGCTTTATGCATAAAATGCTATTTATACAGTATTAAACCAAGCAATCCACTGATTTAAGTTTAAAATTTATACACAAAAAAGTAATGATACAGAACGTTCAGCTGACCGCTGTTTCGCCAAATTTTGGAAGGGTCTTATTTTGAAGCTTTTGCCTCTGAAGGATTTTCCCCAGTATCCAGTGTCTTCAGCAATCTGAAAAGGCCAGCTGCTTCTCGTATCCGACTGAACTCAATACAAAAAGCCTGCACTTCTATAAACAAGTCCTGTACATTAATAATTTTGTTCCGGATCAAAGATTGGAGAAAGACACAAACGAGACGTACCAGGCGGTTCTGAAACAGAAAAGGTCTGGCTTTAATATCTAAAAATATGCCCAAGCAATTCTGTTAAAAAGAGTCTGACCCTTTGTACTGGTATTTTGTGACAATTCAAAGGAATTAGTTACATCAGTTAACCTACCTTTTCACTTCAAGATTTATACAATCTGCATTTAGCCCTTTATTTTCCCCTGTTTGCTGCCCTATAGTACTGATAAATGTTAAGGATAGGGAGCTGGACATGCTCTTCAATCCTGCATGAGATTTTTTTACTGATTGTAGGAACTAGGTCCTATCACTGTACACTTGCTTTATATATAGGTGGCATGGCTATCTCTAGGGCAGAAACTTACATCCTAATACAATATTTCCACAATAGAGTGACTCAAGAGGATATTAAATATATGTACTGAGCATTAAAGGTAACTTAGTCATTACTTTTAGGAAAAAGAGCCCATTTTAAGAGTAATGTTTCCTAAAAGAAATTATTGCAGAATAGTTTATCCTCATGCTAAATGATGTAGAATGTTGTGGATTTTTTCAGACTGGGCGGAATTTTAAAAAGCTGGGAGCCATGCCAAACTCAAGGCAAGAAAGTTAGAAATACAGAGTGCTGCCTCACTTTGCAAAGGTTTTAGAAATGCCACACACTAGCCCTTAGAGCCATATTGTTTCCACTTCAAGTTAATTCTTTTTTGCACAGCATCTCCTTAGAAACAGAATGCCATCTGTTTGTTTTGGTTACTGTGAGCACTTCCTTTACAGCACTGAAAAGTGCAGGAGATTCTGGAGTGTTTCTCTGATGACAAAGCACATAGCTTTGCAGAAATAAAGTTAGAAGTGGAAGGATCTGGAAGCTTGAGGACAAGGAGAAGAGGCAAAACATCTAATATGTGGATGGAGAGAAGGGTACCAAGTGAGAAATCTGAACCTCTCTGACACCATATATAAACCTGAATAATGTAAGGGAAGCACTGTACAATTACTTTGCTACTGAATGCATGAAGTACTTTGCAGAAAATTAAGACCACTACCTGTGCCCCTATGAAAATGCTGAAGGAAGAACCCCTACTCAATCATATGCTTATTAAACATCAGAATTTCATTAAAGCGGTATTTTGCTTCTTGAAGCCACAACTTGTAAAGAGGGAATATGTGAATTCCCAGTGTAGTCACCTTATTAAATCTCAGTACCTGAATATGCCTCATCTTGTTTTTTAACCAAGTCATTCTCAAATACCCACCTGCATGTATTTATCCTTAATCTGTTCACAGGTAGAAATGCAATTGGAGATATAAAGGTGAATAAATTCAGGAGGGAGATCAACTGCTGTAGTAAGCCTGTTAAACATAAAACAAGCTGATTAATGTACAGATAAACTAGCAAGTTAATCATCCATAGTACCATTAAACAATGGACAAATACAGTTAATCTCATAATTCAAATGCGTCTATGATTCATTGACAATCCACCGTTATGTCTCAGGGAGTTAACAAAAATGTTTGGAGTTGTGGGCTTTTGACATGTCCAATAAGTGTGTTGCACTAGCCAGACACCAACATCAAAAGGCAAATCTATTTTTACATCAAGTGCAATACAGAAATTGGTTTTATTTAAGGTTACTCTCTAGATGTCTGCATGCAGGAGGCCTATGTCAAAGGCACCCATGTGATCTTTACTCCCTGTCTAATAAGCAGATACCCTACAGAAGCTAGTGATGGGCACTGCTTGCAGAGCAACAGAAACTCTCAAGTTGCTTATTTGAGTAGATATTGAGCTTATTTGAGTGACAATTTCATACTGTAGCAAGCATCAAATGCAACTGTGTATATCAGCATCAGATATCAAGTCTAGAAACGAGCATTTCTTAAAGTACACAACTGGAATAGCATGATTTTGTGCTTCATAATGTTAGTTTGCCTTAGTTTTTTTCAGGGTTCTAAATTTAGAAGTCATGGGAATTAGAACATTATTAATAAACAGATTTCAAAATAAGTGCAAAAGAGTTCAAATGACGAAACATGTTAATCACACTATTGGTGTGAAGAACCAGAAGTGTCTCACCAAAGAAAGAGCTAGAGAACATTTTTTTAAAATACCAAAAAGCAAGAGAGCTTGTGCTTTCAGAATAGTGCTATAGACAAAATATCTTCAATCACCCAATACATGTACTATACTAATGGATCATTAAGGTGTACAACTGCCATCTGATTTTTGTTTCAAGTTGTTTGAATACTCACATACAAAGAGAGGCAATACAACTTATGAATGATCTTACATCACATTTGAAGTATACCAGTTAGATGCCAGCTCTGCAAGATGCTCCAGCTTGCACTAGACTGCTATGCAACCAACATGGAACTTTGCTGGATCACAAAGGTTTTGGCTTTTGAATGAAGTGGTTAGGAAGACTGAAGCATGTAGGTCAGTAAGTGTCTTATCATAAGACTTTGCAAGTGTTTTTTATATCCCACAGGACATTTACTTTACCTGATCTCCCTCACCTCAAACTGCCCTTTTGGCACTGCCAACCATTTTAAATTTTATGAAAAACTCCTGGCCTGTATCTTTTGTGGAGAGGACCCTGCCTGCATCAGAACTGATGTGATTTTCACTGTGTAGGGGAGACCAGAACGCCTGTGATCTTCTGTGGTTATACTAGACAGGAGTGGGAACCATTTACCTACTGCCATTCCATCCTAAAGCAGAGCAGAGACCCCAGCAGCTTGATGGCTACTATAAGCTCAAAGTGGGTGGAGCTGTCAACTCAGCAGTTTAGGGAAGACTTAGTACTTATACTGTGCACCTGAGGCAGGATTCATCAACATAGCAGAAATGGAACCACAAGTTTAACAACTCCTTGAATAGTAATAGGTAGTTTCTTCAGCCTCTTGTGAATAGTTGGAAGACCAAGAGATGGGGAAGAAGTTCCAACTACTTCTCACTTAGCTTGTAGTCTCTGGTAAACTTTCAGGTTAAATACTTTAAACGTTTTACTCAGGAGACTAATGCAGATCAATGTTAGCAGTTTTGCTTTTTTAAACATCAAGAAAAGCAGTCTGCAGTGCTGAAGTGGGGACAGGAAGGTAGAAAACTACAGGGTTTGGCATGTGGGAAAGAAGAATTAGGCTTCTCGTTCAAAAATAGTTGCTTAATGTGTGAACATACAAGCAAGCTACATGTCACTACAGGAACATTTAATCATGGGTATGAAACCCAACTGGCCAATTAGAATAGATCTGGAAGTCAACGTCCAAGCCTATTATAATAAAACTTCTCAGAACATACTTATCTGGCAGTAGTTTGTCCCAACTAAGCGAATTTGAGTGCATCTCTGATGCCAGAAGGGGGGGGGAAAAAAAAAAGTCAGCTGTATTATAGGTGGGGTTGGTAGCACTTCACAGTAAGGTAGCACTACACTTCCCATTAAGACCCTGTTTTCAGTTGCTTATAACTTTGTCAAACTAATATCTGCGCTGAAATTTTACATGCTGGATGTCTACACCTCAGCTTGATTATTTTTTTAAATGTTAACCAAAATGATTCAGCCATTTCAAAGAATAAGACAAGAGAAAAATAAGTTTTGCCCATGTTAAAATATTCTGGTGACCTTTTCTCTGAAGCACTCCCCTGCCCCCATGCTATGGAACAGGGACTTGAAATTATGGCAGGGGGTGGCCTTCATGTCAGTCAAACACTCAAGAGTTAGAAAGAACAGGAGTACTTTTGGCACCTTAGAGACTAACAAATTTATTTGAGCATAAGCTTTCGTGGGCTACAGCCCACTTCATTGGATGCATAGAATGGAACATATAATAAGAGTGTACACACACACACACACACACACACAGAAGATGCCATACCAGCTCTAAGAGGCTAATTAATTAAGATGACCTATTATCAGCAGGAAAACACTTTTGTAGTGAAAGTACCTGAATTAAGGTTGCCTGTGCAGTCTTAATTTGGCTCCCTTGTGTGTATGCATTATGATACAGTATTTTTTCCACAAGACCTCTAGTTCATTTAGTGCACAGGATGGATGATGCTCACTAAGTGAGCAGAGCAGCTATTCAATATTTTGTTTTATATTCATTGTTCACTATATGTGGCCCTTGGGCCTTAAGTCTTATTTACTGCATACTATTCAAACCCTGCTCTGAATGCTCAGCACTTCTGCAAATCAAGTCAGGCACCCAGAAAATGAGAAACACACAATTAGTGATCACATGCGAAGTGTTTGGTTCAAGTGACTTGTGTAACATCACACAAGAACTCTGGCAGAGACAGAATACAATTCTCCAACTGCCTTAACCATGAGGTCATCCTTTCTCTTCACTACACACCTTCCAAGTTCGGCAACAAAGGAGGCAGGGTTCTAGATAGTCTGCTTCACTACACAACCCTGATTCAAACCCAGAGCAAGTACATCCTGTGCACTGAAGGCGGTGGGGATCCTGTGGAAAAATTGTATGTGATCATGTAAATAAAGACTATCAATGTACAGGCATAAGGGGGGGCGAATTAAAGCTGCACAGACAAGTTTTATTCTGGCATTTTCCAACTCGCGAGTGTGACTTTGCAATTTAAAAGTTTTTTAATCTAGTTTGTGTGTAATGTAAATAAAAGCAAAGAAATACCTCAGTTCTGTTGCACCCACCATATGCAATGGAGCTTTTGCTCTAGAAGTTTACGGCATCCATAAGTGTAGCATTATACAGAGGCATCAAAATCCATTTCTGTCAGCATCTCTAAGTAGACTCTTTTAAAAGTAACACATGATCTAGCAGATCCTTCTGTTAAAGAATCACTGCACTGATTCCAGATGTAGGGCTTTTCCCTCTATGGCAGGTGGCACTGCTTTCCAGCTGACTGAATGAACAAGAACTGCGTGTTTCTTGCTGCTCCTGTTCATTCTGCCTGCTGCAAAACAGAAGAGATAACGGGGGAGGTGTTTGAGGAGAGAGAAAGTGAGCAACAAGGAAACGAGATCGTAAGTTTACCCTGGCAGAAGCAGTACTTCCTCAGTGTCACGCTAGTAGTGGTTTTGGTATTAAAATGCTCCCAGATTGTATTTCCATAAACTCTAGGCAAAAACGACAATCTCACCCTTCACATGTGCTGGACGCCCTTCCCGCAACCCCCACTGGCCAGTGGGAGCGGTGATCGGCCAAACCTGTGCACACGGCAGGTAAACAAACCGGCCCGGCTCGCCAGGGGCTTTCCCTGACATGCCGTGGGCCAAAGGTTGCCGATCCCTGTACCATACCATTCTCTCACTAGAAGGGAAAACCTATAATGGCAGCAGGTCGTAAAAGAGACCCAGTTTGGGAATAAGAACCATTCAAGAAATATATGTTTGCTGATGATGTTTTAAAGAAAGTCACACCAGTGAACTGGTGGAAATCACTTAAGCACTTGGATTCAGAGACTGCTGAAGTGATAATCTCACTTTTAACAGCAGTAGTTTCTTCTGCCACTGTAGAAAGAATATTTTCTTCCTTTGGACTAATTCATTCCAAATTGAGAAACTGATTGGGACCTGAAAAAGCAGGATAGCTTGTTTTTCTTTTCCAGATTATGAACAAACTGGAAAATTAAGGTGAAGACAACCGAGTTAGCTGCAAAAGCCAATATTTTAAGTTTCTCATGTTGACCTGGCTGACAGTCAATTTAATTTTTGTTTTTTTAAAACAAATATTTAACTATTTTAGTTAAAAACAATTTTAACAAAACAAACCTGATTTTAAAAAACGTGAATATTTAACTAAATTAAAAAATTCATGCTTGTTTTGTTAAAATATTATATGTTTGCTGTTGAAGAAAAAAATCCAGATTATATAACGTTGTTGTTTTAGTTAAATAAAACAATTTAAATATCTGTCTGGTGATGTTCTCCTAATACAGCATGGCAAGAAAATCCTTCAAATATTAATGATTAACCTCTTGAATTGGAGATAGTCATTGGGAGGTGAACTTCATAAATATCTGCTTCAATTACCTTTGGTAAATGAAATAACCAAACAAGCATTCATTTTCAGATGTAGCTGTAAAACTAATCTGAAAGGTTTTCAAAATAAATCACTTTAAAAATGTATAGCGTGTGCCTTCTAAAAATGAAACCTACATCTATCTCTGAGTTGTGAAGAATATGTATTAAGGTTATAACATGAATGCACTTTTATGTAGAAATCCATGATTAAATCGAGTCTTTCTGACTAATGATTTAAATCAAATCCACCCTGAAAAATGACATTGAAATCTGTCTCCAATTTCAATATCAAAGGTGAATCTGAGATTGCCATTAACCCAATATAACTACACTTTTATATTAAGAAGTGGGATATAAATGTGAATTTCAAAAAGAAGCAAGATTTCAAGATTTGCCCTATTTCATTTGCAGAACAAAATGGTGGACACAAGACTCATATCACACAGGTAAAACCACTACTACAGACAGCCTTGTTTTAAGATACACCTCTACCTTGATAGAACGCTGTCCTTGGGAGCCAAAAAATCTTACCGTGTTATAGGTGAAACCGTGTTATACTGAACTTGCTTTGATCCTCTGGAGTGCGCAGCCCTGCCCCCCCCGGAGCGCTGCTTTACCGTGTTATATCCGAATTAGTGTTATATCGGGTGGCATTATATCAAGGTAGAGGTGTATATTGCAAAATTATTTCTATGAATACTCCTACTGAAATGAACAGTGCCTCTCATTTTAGTGGCATTTCATGCAGAAGTGTTTATTACATTTGTTTGAATTAATTAGCAGTATTACAGCTTTCATATAAACAAACCAATAAAAGGGATTAAACTAACTTGACATACAGGCAGTTTTGAGTGATAGAGTTCAGAGTTCTTTTGGCAAGAGGCCAGGTAATTCAAAGCTACTTCACTGCATTTTAGTGAGTCTGCTTATATAGTATAAATTGGTATATTTAGTCAGATGAGTTCAGCACTTTTCCAGCCAATGATCATGTCCTGTGATAAAAGAGCATAGAGGAGTCTTCTCTGCCCCTTTCTTGTTTTAATATGTATTATTTGTGCACAAGGACAGCTATTTCCTAAACTCCTGCCAACTTTGGTAGCCTTTAGGGGCATAGTGGAACAAGCTACTTTTCAAATCTGACTATACCACTACGCATAAAGCCAAGATCAGTAAAACTCATCAGGTACTCCCTGTGAAACATTCTGCTTTCATTTTCTTTAAAAACAACACTGATCAGAGCACTCCAGTGCAAGAACTCACAAAGATAAGTTTAGATTTAAGATGACAAGAAACACTTACCGATTTACAACTTCCATTGAATGTAAAGACATGTCCATGTTGACCAGGACAGAAAAATACTCTGTTATCTGACTGGACTGCATTAGTTTAAGCAACATTTCTATAGCAACTAGAGGATTATTTTCCACCAGGTCAGGCAGTTTGGCAGGAGTGAGGCCAATGTGGTAAACAAGCTTGGGGTCCTTTTCTAATTCTCCAAGAAGCTATTGAAAAAAACATCAGCATATTAAATTTGAATTAAACTGTACATATTTGATCACAACAAGAGCAGGTGAACTAGAAACCCAATCTGGATTTTATTATGACTTAGTTTAATAAAAGATGTTCTGCCTTGTGCAGAAATTCCAGTGATATTAACAGCCACTCAAAGTTTCCTACAATCAACCAGTTATGCATTTTTTACAAAAATGTTGCAGCCTGCAAAACAAAAGCAATAATCCATCTAAATTACACAAAAGGAGAATTCTAGCCACTTGAATTTAAGTATTTCTTCTTATACATACTTTGTTTTCTTCTAATATTTCAGTTTCTGATCCAGGGGAAGTGTGCACAGAAAAGCCTTTAAAAGAAGCTGGGGTTTTGAAGCTCATGGCACTTAGTAGCCTTGTATGTTGTGGAAAAATTTAAAACCACATAATCCAAGTTTCATTTTTTTCTCTTGCTCTAGCTCTTTCATTGAACTGGCAAATACACTGTTGAACTGAGCTGACCAACAACTCTGATAAGTTATCCTAGACAGAAAGAGATAGTTGTACTAGAACATCTCCCTTCTTATACAGTACAATGATAAGACTAAGGCCCATTGAAGTCAGTAGTAACAGTAACTTCAGCCAGACAAGATCAGGCCCTTAGCATTTCTAAATAACCATCTCATTGAAAGCCTCTGCCAAACCTGAAACAGCATTACTACAACAAGGTTATCCTAGCAGGGAAATACTGTTGCTAGTTACTAGTCACATTTTGCATTTGTTCAGCTAATGAAGGTGTGTGTAGAAACAGCAGATAGACAAGTTTTAAAAAATACTTTCCTTATCTGACCATACACAAGCCAAGACTGAAATTTTGGTATTGAGACAAGACAACTCAAACAACATTGAGATTTCCTAAATTTGGAGACAGTTTTAAACAAGTCCACTCCTCGGCAGGACAAATCTTCAAACTTCTGGAGTGCCCACAGACAGATTAGTGCTCTACACAGGAGTTTAGAGAGTTTAAACCTTTTAGTGACACTTCCATCTTAGCACCACAGGCTACTGTTTGTTTTGAGTCCCATCATCCTGCTTCACTGGGTCTGCTATGTGACTATTTTAATTTTATGTAATATAATTAGGCTTGGAAGGATTAGAATTTTGTATCTGTATATGTTGATTTCACCATATATACACCGATGCAAAATATTTCCATCCATGATAACTGAAATGTACAGATAGGCCACGTAAGAACAATGCTGCTTGAAAACTTAAGAGTTTGATTTAAGGATATTTACTTTGTATATTTTGACATGTGATGTTGACAATTCATGTTTTAATGGCTATGAAGCTTTAACTTTTTGAATCTCAACATTTACAGTCATTAAATAATTACTGTCTCACCCGACTCCAAATGTTCACAAATACAGGAAATTATAAATTGATAAAAATTTGAAAAAATGCTTAAATAAACATTGATATTATCCACTGAAATTATTTAAAAAATTGAATTCTGCCAACCCTAATTATAATGAGATGAAAATTATTTAAGTCATTTAATTTGACCCTAGTTTTCTAAAATGTATGAAATATAAACATGCATAGGAAAGATTAGAAGGGAGGGCAGCTGGCACATAGGACCCACCTGTGTTTGCTGTGGAGACGACAAAGGACTTTTGAAAGCCTTAGCCATGATGCGTTTGATCTCCACTCCAGTGCTATTTTTAACACACATTGACTTATCCCACTGAATTGCATGATCTGGCTCTATTGGGTTTAGCCAAGCCAGCTCATCCTCACAAATATGGAGTGGAGGTGGTGGCCGGATAAACTCTGGTCGGAAGTGACCTGAAAGACAATGTTGTAAAGTTTTCTTTCAAAGGAAAATTAAAGAGGTGAAGTCCTTTTTGTATTACTCAATGAAAAATCATTTTAAATTTAGAAGGCTACTATACTGTATATTTAATATAAGGGTGACAATAGCAGTCTGATGACTGGTCCTCTCTCCCTCCCACAACTGTAATACTTTTCAATGTACAGTCAGATTAATTTTTGGAGTTTTGTACTATGACGTATGAGCTTGGTCACATACAATTCAATCTAGAGAAAAGTAGCTCAACACATCACTTATGTCATTCCTTAAGTAATTGTGCCAAAGATTACAGAAATTTAAGAGTAAACAAAGATGCACATACTTTCTATAGGTGGTTTTGGTCCACTCACTAAAGCTTCAGTGATCTGTGAGGCAACAGAGCTGTCAAAACCAGAATTTGAGGAATCTGGGTCAGGATCGCTGAGAATGCTGGGGAAGCTAGCTTTGCTCTGTGTTGGCAACTCAGACTGACGCTCTGAAAAAAAGTTCAGTCCACGATATTAAAGCATACAACCAAAATACAGATGTCAGGAATACTAAAAGTAGCAGGAGACAATCTGAGTTTTAGAACAGCATTGGTTTAAAGAGACAGTGTCAACATGAAATCTAGTTCAGGTTTGTAAACGGTGGGCCATGGAGCACTTGCTGGTGGTGTGCAAAGAGTTGATTGGTCAGTCACATGGTGTTGGCTCTCCTTCTTTCCACTTCCTAAAACTGCATTATATTGCTAAAAATACTAACACTTTCCCAGTATTATTTTTCCATGTAAACAGCAATTGTTGTAATTGTCACAAGGGTTTACATAATTGCAAATGGCAGCAATGCAGTGATTGACTGTGAATGGGAGAGAACATAAGCTATCTGTGAGAATCCTCTAGGACAGTGGTTCTCAAGTGGGTCCACAGTCCCCTGCGGGGCCATGAGCTGGTTTTAGGAGGCCATGCCCTGCGAGGCAGGAGCCCCGGCACCCTAGGATTACCATATGTCCAGGTTTTCCCTGGACATAGCCTCTTTTGATTCTCCACTGTCTGTCTGAGCAGGTTTTTCAAATCAGAGGCTATATCCAGGCTTTTGCAGACCATAGGTAGCTCGGAAAGAGCTGTCTCTGCACCTCACTGGTTCCTTCCCTTCCAGCTGATTGGGCAGGATCTGTCAGCTGTGAGGGACCAAACAGCTTCATAATGCAGCATGTCAGCCTCACACTGCCAGATCCTGAACCCCTTCTCCAAGGAGCAGCTCCAGTTGGGGCTGCATTTCACAGCAGGTGAGCTGGTGGAAAGGGCAGAAAGAGGACGGGCTGAGGATGTTTCCGGGGGGAAGCTATGTGCAGCTGCTGGAGGTGAGAGACAGGCTGCACCAAGTGCCCAGGAAGCACAGGAAGGGAGTGCAGAGGTCAGGGTAGAAGGGGCACAGGAGAGTTAGGGGACTCCCCCTTCCAGCGCCCCCTCTGCCTCCACCCTCTGGCAGTGTCCTTTTTTAGGGAACCTGAAACATGATAGCCCTACATGGGGCCAAAGCCCTGAGCCCCGGTGCCCCGCAGGGCCCTGAAGTTTTTATAGCATGGGGGAGAAGGGATTTCAGAAATAAAATGGTTGAGAACCCCTGCTCTAGGACGTGACCTAGCCTGTGGAAAGTGTCAGAACCCCTGATCTAGTCAGTTTCAAAAAATGAGTTCGAAGTAGTTTTTCATGCACTATTCTTGCCACACTTGTCCCCCTGCCAATTGTGCTTTTACAGTCACATTTCTCTCTCCCTCTTCCCGCTTCCCCCACTGTTGTGTGAAGACCCACACAAACATAGGCATTCAGACTCAACAATAATGGGGGCCATAAGAAAATCTAAATCAGAGCTAAAAGATTTTTCAATGTGGACTGTGTTTTTAGTGATGTTGCATAGAATAACTACCCTCCCCCATTTGTTGTCAACATCCCAGTAGCAACTATAGCAATTGCTTACGTCGAAAAAATATATTAGGAGTCTAATACAAATTAAAATTTTATGCAGCTGGAAGTGAGCCAGCAGCATGGGACATCCAGCACTATCTGGACTACGATTGTAACCAAGAATTGTTCAGAGGTGGACAATGCCCCTACAAAGGCCAAATTATACAGCATAGGAAACATTACACAGTAATACTACTAAATCCAGTAGATATTCTTTGTTACTGCAAAGCTGGTTATAGAGAAAGGAAAATAAGTTTTAAAATTATGGATACATTCTGAGAAACCATAACATAGCTTCTGTCCTAGGAGTGCTCAGACAAGCTGAGGACTGGGAGTGGCTGATCCTTTATTCCTAATCCTAAATTTCAGGCTCCAACTCTCTGTAGAACTGTGAGAAAGGATGTCTTTACCTTCTGTCACCCTGATCAGTTCATTTTAAAATAGGTCAACCTTACTGCATGAAAGTCAGTAGCTGATTAACAGATGCCAGCCCTACAGCATTGCTAACAGATTCCATCTGCAAGGCGAAGTCTAAGTATGTGCTTATCTAGTCATTCAGGGAGTAAATAGCATGCTCCTCAATGGATTCAGCCTCTGATAATTTGAAGCTTGACATCTTGGTCCCATAACTAATACAGCTCTTGTTTTGGGCCCAGCAGTCACTGAAGAGAGACACCATCCTGAAATTAAACTACTGCTTCATTTTCTGTGTAACTGAGCTTGTATATTGCCTCTACCTACACTGAAGCTATTTATACTTTCTCCTTTATTTAGAACCTGGCGAGCTAGTACTCATAGCTTTTCTCTGTAGAAATGTTCTTCATGCTAGATATGGTCCCCTAATTATCTAGTGTTCAAAATTTTAACTGAACCCACTCTCAAAAACCAGACTCAATGTTAGATAACAGAACTCTCTTCCACAGATAATGATAGCCTGCTGAATCCAAAGGTTTTTTCTAGGTGTATTTCCTAGGGCTGGCAAGGGAACAAGGATGTACCTTTTCCATCAAAGCAAAGGAATAAGCAGAAGTTATTTATTGCAAAGTATCTGGTGGTTTTCTGCTCTATTTTATCTGAATATTGACTCACTGAACTAACTTGGTAGGATATTTTTCCTTCAAGGATATATATTATATACTTGATTACTTTCTTAGCAGTTTCCCAAGAAAAGATACTTGATTGCAAAAAATAAAAATCCAATTTCACCAATTTTCAGAATGCTTCTACTGGTTTATAAACTGTTTAGAACTCCAGTATACAATCCTAAAAAGAATATTTTTCGGAATATTCTTGACCAACTCCTGCACATTACAATTAATCCAACAGGCTAAATGTCACATCTAAAAGATGAGTACTGTATATACTCGTTCATAAGCCGAATATTTTTGGTAAAAAAATGACGCATCAAAGGGCGGGGTCAGCTTATAAACGGGTCTACACCAAAATTTGATGATTTTAAACTCTATGGAATCATTAAATTGAATATCTAATACATTGTCATTTTGTTTACCTGGAGCGTCTGCAGGCACGGAGCCCCTCAGCTCCCTGTAGCTGCAGTTCGCCGTTCCCAGCCAATGGGAGCTGTGGGAAGTGGCACGCCATTTCCCGCAGCTCCCATTGGCTGGGAACGGCAAACCGCGGACAGTGGGAGCTGAGGGGCTCCGTGCCTGCAGATGCTCCAAGTAAACAAAATGTCCCGACCTGCCAGCAGCATATCCTGACAGGCCGGGAGCCAAAGTTTGCCGACCCCTGAAATATAAGGCTGGCTTATGAAAGGGTCATACAGTTTTTGCTATTTTTACCTAACCATCCTGGGGGGTCAGCTTATAAATGAACGGGCTAACGAACGAGTATATACGGTAGATATCATTTCAGTTTGGTGGCACTGTGGTGTGCAATTTAAGGTCATAGCTGGTCAATAGTTGCTAGTAAATTATAGGTTTGATTTGGACCCCAGTATTCCCAGAGAATAAAATACCATCAGATATTATTATGAGATCTACAACAGGTTTAGGCCCCGTCTTGCAATTCAGTGCACACATGAAGACTCTTGGGCTTGAAAGGAGCCTCAAATGAACTCAGTGAAGCTCCATGTGATCACTGCAGTCTGCCAACATACAGAAGGTTACAGGATCAGGCCAGATTGATTCTTTGGGATTAAAGAAAGCAAAAGCTGTATTTAAAGCAGAATCCTTAATAAAAGAGCTAAAGATTAATTTGTTTATGGGAAGAGCATAAGCACCTTAACCCACGCCACTTAAAGTAGGGTGACCAGATGTCCCGATTTTATAGAGACAGTCCCGATTTTTGGGTCTCTTTCTTATATAGGCTTCTATTACCCCCCCACCCCGTCCCGATTTTTCACATTTGCTGTCTGATCACCCTAACAAAGTAAAAAAGCTATTCAAAGGCAAGCAGTTGTTGGAGATCTATTGTGGTGCTACATTTTTTCTCTTCTGTAAATTGCAGGAAGCTTCCTTTGATTCCTAACGGAAGGTGCTGAAATGTATTGGAAAAAGCAGCTTTGACTACAAGCCAATTACCCTTAACCAACGTAGTCTTCTGTCAGGCTAACCGTATCGAATAAAGGCAGTATTTTGCCAGAACACTTCCTTTTTCCACCAGCATCAGAAAATGACGTTTTTTGGCAGGATAATGATCCAAACAGGCAGAAGTACAACTAAAGAAACAGAAGCAAATAGGGCAAATTTTGCAAAAACATTCTGCAAATCAGCAGGCTGAAGTTAATACTGATCAAACAAAAAAAATCTAAAGTCCTTATGAAACTGTATTTCTGCCCTTTAAAAAAAGCAATTACAGCTGCAAGTCAAATTGTTCACATTTAAATTCTGATTGTTACTTAGGATATTACTCAGAGAAGATCAGATATTAAAGGACAGAATACATTAGTTGTCTTTCCCATATGTAATTTAACGTTCAGGATAGTTATCCTGACAGAATGCTTTCAATTTTTGTGAATAGGAGTAATTCTTTGTGAGGTACATTCTAGAACAAACTTGTCCCTAAAATGAATCCAGGGATATTCTGAATAGGAGAACACCTTTACAGAAGCCATCAAGATTTACAACCCTTACAGGACAAGATCGGCCATGAAAGAGGGACAAATATAAACAAAGATCTCAATAGCTTTTAAGTTCAAGCATTTTTGTTTCACTCTTTTTATATTTTATGGACAACTCAGTTAACTTCTTTTCTACATCTTCGATTACTGGGAAAAATATGGACTTGAAACAAGCTATTTTATAAATGGAGAAGCCAGTCAAAAAGGTGATTCCTAGGTGTCAAGACTGCAGCAAGAGGAGTTGCCTTCATATGAGGCACATAGACAATGGCAGGCATTTATTCCAAGAAACAAATCTTGTCTCTCTCACCAACAGAAGTTGGTTCAATAAAAGATATTACCTCAGCCACATTGTCTCTCTCATGAACATGTCAGATCAGAGATAGCCTAAGGTCTCTATGTAGTCAAATTAGTTATGTATGTGATTTACTGTATAATTTTGTTGTATCCACTACATATAGAATAAGCATTGCACATTCAGCTACTTATTTTTAAAAGTAACCAATATCAATGAATTTGTTCCATTTTCAAAAATACTACTGGCTTTGTATTTTGAAGACAAGACAAACCAAAATGTATGGAACTTCCAGCAAAAACAGGAAATTTAGTAATTTTGGGTTCTTAATTTAACACCATTCAAAAGGGACCTGATTTTCAGAGGGCAAGTACACAGCTCTTGTGAAAAATCAGACCCCTTCAATGCTTTGTAATTTGGGCACCCAAAGTGTCAAGTCATTTTTGAAAGTTTAAGTCAAAGAATAAAGAATTCACAAAAATGCCCAGAAAGATTCAAAGAGGGAGACACCAGACTAAGGCAGGAAAACTCAGGCAATAGGTTGAATATCACACTAATATTTGTCTAATTATCCCAAGATTAGGTATTAAAAAGTTAGTTATCAAACAATGAGGGGAAAAAAACAGTTTTGAAATCATAACCAATCGTTATCAAATCCTTATAAGGCCAAACTCGCATTTTTGGTGCTCCAAACTGGCCCCCATTCACTATATCCATCTTTCCTACTGTTTTAATCAGTAGCTCCAAAAGTGACCTACTAAAAGAGATGGCTCACAACCACCACCTTTTTCTCTCTTTCTCCTGCCAAGTGGTCTAAAAGCATCACTTTTACTAGATACAGTCAGCCAAATTAGCCACCTTCCCAATCTGGAGACAATACTTAGGAAGTAACAAAAACCTAAATCATCTCAGATTTATAAAAACTAGCACAAATTCAGTTATAACACCTGTTCTTGCCAAAAGATATAACTGAAGAAAGAGGCGTAATGGCTGCCTGATAGTAAGTTATCCTGTGTTTCTGAAATTGGAAATACTGCACAAGATACAAGGGAATAAATTTTAAGCATGAAAACTGCCAACAGAACAAAAGACATTTTTCAGATGGAAAGCCTTTTCCTATATTGTAAAAAAGTGTCTTCACAGCCTCAAAGAAGAAAATTCCATGTATAAAACTTGCTTTTTAAGCCAAATATAAGGCAGTTAAAAATGCCCTGTGCTTAAAGTTTCTACAGTCTAGAATTATAGCTCAACTCATTTTACACTTAAAAAGAAATATCTCACTTTCACTATTATCTCAAGGAAAAGCTGTCAGGATATACCTAAAATGGTTTGTTATTTCTTACCTGCTAGTGCTAGCTGAAGTCCACTTATATCCACTGACTGGGCCATGTTTCCTATATCCATTAAGGCAATCTGTCGAGGAGTCTTCTTGAAGAGTTCTCTAGGAGGAGCCAACATCAGTTGGGAAAGGAAGAATTTTTCTGGTGGAGTTATGGGAGGTAAGAAACCTGAGAAAAACAATTTTCCTCACTTGTAATACAGTTGCAATTAATACTTTGCGCTTTCTACTATGAAGGAGCGATGTCTGCTAAACAAACTATGGCACAAATATTAAAATGTATGAATTAGGCCGACACTAAGAATATTCAGTTGTGTTAATATTTTAAATTAAATCCACGTCTCTACCTATGTAGCATTTAAATATGAGCTATACAGAATAATTTTGCTTAAACTGTCTAATGAACTAAACCCAGTCAAGGTTTCTTTGGTTTTAACTATTAAATAGTTTTAGACTTACTTCAACAGCCCTATGTCTCCATTATTGTGTTGAAGGCTAGGTCACAGCATACCATAAGGGCCAAGGAAGCCATCTAAAATTAGTTTAATTATTATAATTAATAAAACCTAGTTCTTCAGCTGTTACCAATATTTGGTCATTCATATTAGTAAAACATAAGCTCTTAAACTGCAATTGCATCTATGAGACCCAGGTAGTCATATCAAGCTCTGTTACACTTTGGGGAATAGTTTGCATTTGGGTGCTCCAGCAAAGAAAGGCAATTTGATTAAAACTAGGCAAATACAAAGAAAGCTGAACCCTTCTGTAAGAGAACACTGAATACAAACAGGCCATCAGGAAAGGAACAGAAGAGAAAAATTTGCCAAAAGTAGTAAACAGCTCCCAACCCTTCCCCACACAACTTTTTAAATTTGGTTTTGAATGTAAAGCAGTCTTGATGCATCGTTTTGTTTTCTAATTTAGACCAATGATCAATTATTAACAAATAACAGGCACATTGCTAGTCACAGCCCTAGTATTCATTGTAGTTTGTGGTGAACAAGTTGCTATTAACTCTACAAATTATTCAAAGTGAAAAACTTTTAGAATCCAGTTTACCTGTCACTATTTATAGTTTGATTTTCATTTCAAAGCCAAGAAATACAAATCACATCAGTTTCTCTTTCAGGTTCTTAATGCTGCTGAGTTTGGGCTTCATACACTGCAGGGAATGTTTGTTTCAAAACAACTTTGTTAAAATTATGGAAACATTTCTATTAGTCTTGAATGTTTATAAACAAAGTTTTATGGAACTTTATTTTTGGGCCATGTAAAACTGACAGTATCCCTTTAAGACTGAGCAGAACTTGCCCGTTTTTAGAAGTTTATAGCTATCAAAAGTGTTAAACAAGATCTCCATTTTTTGTTAAAGCAGAATTTATAATACTTTGTAAGTTTTGAATTTTGTACTTTAGCCATTTTAGTTTTCAATGTAAATAAAATTTAAACTTGGCACATCCATACATCTTAGTAAGCACTATAGTAACTTTAATAGACTTTAAAAAGAACAGGAGTACTTGTGGCACCTTAGAGACTAACAAATTTATTAGAGCATAAGCTTTCGTGGGCTACATCCGAAAGCTACATTGGGATGCATCCGAAGAAGTGGGCTGTAGCCCACGAAAGCTTATGCTCTAATAAATTTGTTAGTCTCTAAGGTGCCACAAGTACTCCTGTTCTTTTTGCGGATACAGACTAACACGGCTGCTACTCTGAAACCTTTAACAGACTTTAAAATTTGAACTTTTCAAATTAAGTTATAAATATTTTAGACTCATTTTGCAGCATGTTATAAATACTCCTTACTGAAATATATACCAAAGGACAATATTTCAAGTAGTCACATCAAAGATAATCATTCTAATAACCATCAGTGTGAATCCACAGAATTTTACTTTCAGCTGAGGGGAAGTTCGGATTTGAAAATCACTTGGATTTAAATTAGTGGAATATAGCAAGTTTATATACTCTCTAGAGCAGAGCTTGTAAAGTTCAACACCCTTTACCCCACATTCTAAACTGTCACCAACAGAGCTTGGAGCATATTGCCCCCCCAAAGAAGTTTGCTTTAATATTTAAATGTTCAAACAAGTTGACTGTGCTTTCAATAAATAGTCTAGAAAATATTAATGAAGTGAAAGTTTTGCTGGAAAAGCAAGTTTTAAACTATTAAAACTCAGAAAGAATCCAGAATTCATTTGTATTTGTTCCAGAAATCAGAGGCTAAAAATAACATCCAATCAGAGATGAAACATTTTACATGTGACCAAGGGGTACAAACGGCTCAGGTTTTGAACACTCACAATGAGCTGTTTGCAAACAAGCTATAATCCAACAATCTAAAGAAGTTACTTGGCAAAAAAACAAAAACAAAAAAATCCCTGCTTGTTTTTACATTAAAAATACAAGGAACTTGTTTTGTTTTCTAAAAAGCTTGACTGGGTGCTCCCTCAGCTCTCAAATGCAGGAAAGTAGTGTGGAGCGCTGAATCTTTCACAAAAGAACTTTTCTGTTCTTTCCAGTGTTTGTCTGGAATTTAAGATGTTTTTTACAGTGTGATTAAATTAGAAGTTAATCAAATGACACTGCCTCTCCAAATTCCCTTTCCTTCAGTTCCTCTGGTTTCAGCACCTTATATTAATCCCTCCAGTTCTTCAAAGCAAACCCTGATCATTCTCATGTCAAATGCTTATTTTTAAGTGATTCAGGCCTTCTTTAATCATAAAACAGCAACCCTCGCCCCCCTTTCCTTTGTAGGGCAATTTCAAAGACAAAATATTTAAACACACCTCTCAACAAGGGTCATGCATCACTCAGTACTCACCACTCTGATTCCCAGTTTGGGGGGCACTAAATTAATGAGGTTTTCCTGTCCCTTGCCCCCCATAAAAATAAAAAGTAACAGAGGGTCCTGTGGCACCTTTAAGACTAACAGAAGTATTGGGAGCATAAGCTTTTGTGGGTAAGAACCTCACTTCTTCAGATGCAAGACACCATAAAAATAAGTATCTGGAGCAGAGGGTCCCCTTTTGGCCCTGGATCACACAGAGAGGGACCTATTCCAGGGATTCATTTGTACTGAGAACAGGAAAACCTCACTTCTTGCAAATTCCCTCAGGCACAAACAGCCTCTTCCCTGGCTTCAAACAACCAAGATCTCGCCAATATTGGGGAACAGAGTTAAGCATGCCTGTCTCTCTTCAGTTTATCTGCTATGTATATTAGTTACCTTAATCAGAATCCTTCTGATTTTGGAGGGGTAATTTATCCGTATGCACAGCTTCTCAGTTTTCATGGCTTTAATCTAATGCCCCCAAAACTGAGAGCCAGAGTGATGTGCACTGCCAATTGAATGGAGAGGTGCATGACCGCTGTTGAGATGTGCTTTTAACCATGTTTTCTGAACTACACTGCAAAGGAAAAGGGTGGGTGGTGTTTTATAATGTGTAAAAAAGGCCCGAAGGGCTTGTTTTGAAGTGTTTGACATGAGAATAATCCGGGTTTCTTTTGCTGCTTGCTAGAGGGCAATTTAGATGAGTGAAGAGCTAAGGGGACAGGCGCTGGAACCAGAGGAGCTGAAGGAAAGGGAGCGGACTTTGCTGAACAAAGATGTAACTTAACCTCCTGAAAACTTGTGTGAAAAATGCAGCCCCCTCCCCCGCACACAGGGCCTAGAGAAGGGGGCTGGGGCAGGCTCCGGCCCAGTGGACACAAAGCGAAGCATCGCTCCGAGCGGAGCCTCCTTCCAGGCCCCCGCCTGTCTCCCCCGAAAGACTCGGGCCCGATCTCTGCTGAGCGGCCACAGCCCGGGAGCCACCTCAGCGGCGCCCCCACCCCGCGGGGGCCGGGCCTCGCAGCGCCGTGACGGCCGCCGAGAAGCGGAGCCGGTTACTCAGCGGAAGCCCCCGCGCCCCGGGCGGTACCTGACAGCGGCGGCCGCTCGGCCTCGTCGCCGCGCTCGGGCGCGGGGTTGAGCAGGTGGGCGAAGATGGCGGCGAAGGGGTTGGCGGCCAGCGGCTCGGTGCGGTACATCTCCCAGAGCAGGTAGAGCGCGGTGAGGCGCTGCGGGGGGCTGGGCAGCAGGTCGGGCTGCTGCAGCAGCAGCACCAGCACCGAGCCCAGGCGGAAGTGCTCGGCCTTGCCGAAGTAGTGGTGGAAGGCGCTGGACAGGCCCTCGAAGGTGCTGCCGCCCGCCTCCTCCGACACGATGCTCAGCAGGCTGGAGAGCTCCTTGGGCGACAGGCTCATCCTGCCCGCCGGGGCCGCCGCGCCGCCCGCTTCCCCCCCGGCGCCGGGGGCCCCCGCCTCCGCTCCCACCAGAGTGCAGGGCGCCGGGCTACCCCCGCCCCCGGGCATCCAGCTCCCCGCGCGAGCGCGCGCGCGCGTGCACACCCCGGCGGGCCGGCTCCGCACCGCCTCCCCCCACCCCGCCGAGCTTGTCGGCCCGCTGCTGCCGTAAAGCTGCGCGCCGGCTCCGGTACGGCGCTTTTACGACACTGTCGCTCAACAGACCATAGGGTGGTTGTTGTTGTTGTAGGAGGGAGGGAGCTATCGCGGCTCGGGATTGGCCGGCGGCTGCCCCAAGGGGAGCCGGAGTGAGGCAAATGATTGGCTGCCGCCAGCGTAAAGTCGCGCTCCGGAGTGTTTAACTTTGCGACACTGTCGTTCAACAAGCCAGGCGGTTGTGTAGGGGGAGGCGGCAGGGGATCGGCCGGCGGCTGCCCCCGTGGGAGGCAAGGCCTTGCCCGCTGCTAACGGGGACGGGGCTGGGTGCTCCGCCCAGGGAGGCGGGGCCGCCCCAGTGCGGGAGGCGGGGCATGTGCGGGCTTCTCCCGCCTCACAGCGCGTCCCTGGGCCGCCAGTGCCCGGCCGCCACTGGAGCGGCCTGAGCCGCCGAGACTCAGGGTGTGCCTTAGCAGGCCGTGTGTGGGCCGCTGCCTGGTGCGCCCGAGCTACGTGAATCCGCGAATACAGCCTCGTCGTGCTAGCGGGCCCGGCCGAGCGCCAGCCTCTCTTTACAAATACCTCGGGAACAGGAACCCGGAGTCCTGCGCTTGCTTATTAGACCACAGGCTTTCCTGAGGCTTCAGAAGCACTCCTCAGGCAGATGCCCACTGCAGACTACACAGTGTCATTGGCAATTTGGCTTGGCAAGATACCGCTTTAGCAATCTATTTGACTGGCAGTGTAGTGTTAGTAATTTTAAAAGGAATTCTACTTGTATTGCCATAATCAGATCATGTGAGGCGCGGATTAGATTGATTTGTTAACAGTAGGTAAAGCTAAAGAAAAAGCTCAATGATTTGATTGTAGAAGTTGCTTTTCTTTCCTTGCTAAAATGGTCAGTGATATTGTTTGCAACCACACTTTAAAATAGAGAAGAATAACGGAACAAAAATATCCCAGGACCAGCGAACCCCAAATACATTTTGTAAGGGAGGAGGCAGCAGAGAGAGCGGGACAGGGAAAGAGACAGAAAAAAGTTATAGCAAATTGTTTGATTTGCTATAGAGATTATATTTTAGGTTCTTTCAGCAACCAGGCTAAATAGCTAAAAACAGAAGTAACTCCCTACCCAGGTGTGGTTGGTTTTTTTTGTTTGTTTTTTAGATCACCTGCCTTATTTTCAAGAACAGGCTGGGGAGGGGTGAGATCCACCCTATGGCCAAAAATGAAATTAAAGCATTGCCAGATTTTATTATTCTCATGAGTCTTTCCTCCTTAAATATAAATTCCTTTCCTTGATAGTTTAAGTGTTCCATCTCATTTGGGATGTTTTTATATAGTAAGGAGATGTAGTCGATCTGGGTCTATTCACACATCTTTCTAGCAATCATACCTAGTAATGATTTTTTCCCCCTAAAAAAAGGAAGCCTTTCTCTAAAAAAAGGCTTTCTTCACTACAACTAGGCACGTCAGAAAACCATGAATGAGACAACTATAGCAGAAACAGATTTTTTTTTAAATCTAATTCCTTGTAATGAGAAATATAGACATATTGGCATAGCATCAATACTACAGGAGATGCCACAAGCCTTACTGGATAACCATACAGGAATAAATCTTGAGTTAGTAGTTAGTTTTTAAAGATGCCAGTTTGAACATTTGGCCATAGCTCCAGGCCCAACCATTATAGTACAACAGCTGCATAAGTGTGCTGAAAACTGGTTGACTTCGAAACATGAACATGTCTACACAGAGAGGTATCATTGAGCCAGTTAGCTGCTGTACATTGTACTGAAAGTTCCCCTTTTCAACCAATGTCAGAAGTCCACATAGAAAGGCATGCTAAAATTCATGTAGCTCTACATACTCACCTTCCACAGCATAGGAGATGCCTTCATAGTGCTGAAATCGTGGCCCCACTGGACTTCTACTGCTTCCACCCAAAAGCAATTTAATTTAGGTCCTGATCCGTGCAGATCCAGTTGCAGGATCAGAGGCTTACAGGCTAAATTAATGTTGACTATGAACCTGAAATGCACTTTTCAAGAATCTTACAAATAAAACTGTTTGCATGAATGTTCAGAAAAAGCAAATAAAAAGGGTGGTGAATATGGTTGAAGCACCCAAGTTGTTTGTGAATCATTTTTCTGTTTATCTGCCTAACTGTTCTATAGCAAGGAAAACAGTTTTTCCTATTTCTTACTCACAAAACCGGGTAGCCTTCAGGAAGGATTTTCCCCCCTGAGATATGACAAAGTGCAAAATTTCAAGGATTGTTTTAACAAGTATCAACTAAATCAATGGGAAAAAAGTTATTGACTATCAGTTACTATCATGAGATGCCCAGTTTCTGCAGCAAATCTTGAACTCCTTATTTATTCCTTAAACTAGCAAAGAAGTTTTGTCTGCACAAGGACTCCGTAAAAACAATATTTGTAGTTGAAAATCCCATTTATATATTTTGGTGCCTACCTGAACATGACTGTAACCACCCCATATTTTAACATACAGATTTTGGTATCCTAGGAAGTTCTTGTTTTGTACCCCAGCTCAGAACTCAGGGTTAGATGCAGATGGTTCTTTGGAGACTGTTTTTGATGTATAAGACCCATTCTAAGGCAGATAATTCTTCAAAAAATTTACCCTGAATGTAATCTTCATCCTTCCTCATATAGTTAAGGAGAAAATGTTAACCTTAGTATAGTAACTCTACTGAAGTAAATGGAGTTACACCTTGCTTACACCACAACTGATGTTGGTCCATAATGTTTTGTTTAAAATATGATGAATTTGAAAAAAGTCATCTCAACCACATTAAGGGTGGTATGTCCAGACAAGAGATCAGAATAAGTAAGGAGAATACATAGATCCTGGCCATATGCACAGTAGTTTAGCTCACAAGGAAATTTTGCTTTTTTAAAAACAATTTTTCCCATCCCATTCTCTGTAGCAGAAAGAGAATTTTATTTTTTTCAATTTTTTATATTTTGTTTAAATGTTAAATCACAAAGTTCTGATTATTTATGTGCTATTTCAGACAGAAGAAGCAATTTACACTGTCTGAATTTGGGCCCTACATTATCACAAATGATGTCACTTTTCAGCAAGATAGTGGTCACCAGGAAGAAGCTCAGAAATACTATTTTTTAAACTTGCTTTTAGGACTTAATGTGATTCTTCTCTGGAAGGAAAATAAAATGTGAACGGTATTTTTAGATACATTACTTAGCATTGTGGAGCAGTGATATTATAGATCAAACAAAGGGAAGATGACAAGAGCCACAAGCCCATTTGTAAAAGTATCTTTTAAAATGTTTTATTACTTTGTTTTCCTCAGCAGTTGGCTCAACTCCACTGACACGCTGCTTCCCTCACACAGTCCTTTTTTGTTCATTTGATAATGTTTTCTACACACCCAGTGAATACTTTGCTGGACATTCTTTCCAAATCCCTCTAAAGTTTCCCATTTGATTCTTTATTGCCTTTTAAGTATGCTGCACATCTTCCGAATGTCTCATTTTTCCCAACTTCCATTTATGTTAAAAGCTTTTAAAATACATTTTAATGATGCATAAGAGGCTGAGCAGTATGATGAGCCTAATAGTATGCTATTGATTTTCATCTGAAACAGACATTGCTAAATGGCTATTGACATTTTCAAATGTGTATATTTAATGTAGTTTGAAGACAAGGCAAATACAATGATCTTTTTCTACTAAAATTAGATACAAATTAATTAGTTGCAGTAAGCTACCTTAAAAGTCTCTCTTTTTCAGTGTCTTCAAAACAGCAGTGTTAGTAATAACCGCTGATGCAGGGAGTAGAATAAAAAACCACAGGACTAATGAGTCCACACACAGCTTCCACTTATCTGCAAGTCATGGTCTTAAGAATTCAGCCACAGGCGTTGCTTGTGGAGAATATACTGTGTTAGATACAGTGAAGCGGTTCTCAAACAGTGGTTCGGGACTCCAAAGTGGGTCAGGTCCCCATTTTAATGGGGTCGCCAGGGCTGGCTTTAGACCTGCTGGAGCCCAGGACTGAAGCCGAAGTCTGAGCCCTGCTGCCCCAGACAATGGGGCTCAGGCTTTGGCTTCAGCCCTGGGTGGCGGAGCTTTGGCCCTCCCACCTTGGGTGGTGGGACTTGGGCTTTGCTCCCCCCCACCCCGGGTCATGTAATAATTTTTGTTGTCAGAAGAGGGTTGCTGTGCATTGAGAACTGCTGATATAAACTGCAAATCACAGTGCAACATCCCAATTGCTATATGGATACCTTTTGGGCATGCCACAGTCAAGAACAGAAAATAAAGCAGGAGGTCATTTGTCCATAATTCAGACTCAGTGGGCAGACTAGAAAGGAAAACAAATAAGTGTAAAACAGGCACACATGCCAACATGAGGTATTAAAAAAATAAAAAAAGCAGCAAATCCACAGCAATCCCTGACTGCCAAACAACTAGGTAGTTTTGCCCTATGAAATGTTCCATGTTCAGGAGAGGTTTGAAGTCAATTCCATAAGAAAACTGAAGCATTTGTAATTTTCACTAAGTATATGTGAAAGTGAAATGAATTATATTAAAGAAATAGAATGAAATAAAGAATGCTGTATGTGCCTTTAAGTAGAAGTGAGAAATGTTGCAATCCAGGTGCCAGGAAGGCAGATATTAAGGTAGAATAAGTGCTGTACTTAAGGGCGATTGGTGAAGCATTAGCCTTAGATCGATAAGAGTTAGTAGGGAAGCAGGATATGCATATTGTGCCTCAGGTATTTTTTACTATTTTACTCTCTTTGTCCCTTTGTTTAGTTCGTGCCCTTTTACCTGTATAAATAAGATTGTTTGGGTCTTGTATGGGGCTCACATTATCTGAATGTATTAGCAGAGCGCTGTGCTAATAAACAGAGTGGTCTT